TTCCTGGACTGGGAGCATCAGCAAAAGCAGGGAACTTGTCAGAAATGCACCTTCTCAGGTCCCCAGACCTACTGAGTCAGAAACTCTGGGGTGGGGCCCAGCACTCTGCTGGGACTGAGAACCCCTGGAGAATGCAGGTGAGAGCTGGGCTGACAGGCTTGTCCACGGCCCTCCTAGGTGGCTTGAAGACAGCACTGCAGCAAGTGCACATTTCAGCTGAGCGGCGTTTTGTGTGTGGTGGTTGTTTTCTTGTCACATTTGTTAGAAATGACTCAGGTCTGGCTCAAAGAAAAGTGTGAATTCCTTAATTGTCTCATACAATTACTATTATTTCACATTGTGTGTAGCCTAAAAGAGAATGAAAATAAACACAAAAAATCCAAACTATGGGTTTCAGCACCTTGTCTGTGTAGGGGAGGGTTGTGAATATAACCCTCCCCCTCCGTTCAGTCTTAGTGAACTTTGCCTTCTTGGTGCCAGTACAGGCTGGCCCTCCGCCCACCTGCCCATGTGTCAGGGGACACAGATACCTCATTAATAACTAGAATTCATGGTTTCAAGGGCTAGGGCCTTAGGCTCTGCTCCAATATAGCCCTAGGCTGCACCATTTCAAGTTCCTTACGAGTGCATAGCCCTGAGTTTGAGTCCAGGCTCTACCATTTATGTACTGTGTGATCCTGGGCAAGTCACTTGGCCTCTCTGAGCCTCAGAATACTTCTAGTGACTTCAGGGGCTCCATCTTACTGATGCCTTCAAGGAATTTGCAGTAGTGACTTTGGGTTTGAGTCTGACCTGCCAGTTCATCTGGTGTTTGACCTTGAGTTCTAGACACTGCTCAGGTATCCTGCTGTTTGTTTTTAGTCTGGTCTCTGTGTTTTTCCTTCCAGCTTCATACCCTATTCCCAGGGCACATCTTGCTGGCATTGAGCCAACAGACCAGAGCTAAGCGCTTGATTCATTGCTCACAAGCTGTGCAACCTTCAACCAAGGATCGAGTCACATGTTTCATCCATAAAATGGGACTAGTAAAATGTTTTTCTGAAGATTTAATGTTTTTGTATGAAGATTTAATGCAATTACATGCTTGTAAACATTCAGCTCAATAAATGTTTATTCACTTTTCTGCCTACCTCTCTCTGGAGTAAGTCCCGTAATCATTCTAGACTTGGTGTGCTGACATTTTTGTTTGTTTGAGACACAGTCTCACTATGTAGCCCAGGCTGGTCTGGCACTTGAGTTCCTCTTGCTCCAACCTTCTGAGTGCTGAAATTATAGGCACGCACCACCACACCTTGTGATAATCTTCCGATAATTTCCCTACTTGTGGCAGAGATTGTCAGTCACCAGACAATATCCACTTTCTTCCTCAGTATTTTGACTCTTTTTGGTGGGTAAGAGGAACAGAAATGTACCCAGCTAAAGAGTATGTCTTCCCACCTCTCTTGTAACGAGATGTCATCATACATCTACGTCTTGACCAAAGATATTCAAAGAAGTGTTCACTGGTGGTATGAGTTGGTTTTCATTCCCCTTAAAAGATATGTTAAAACCCTCACCCCACTCACCGGCACTACAGAGTATGATCTTGCTTAGAAATATGAACTTTCTAGAGGAAAGCTAAAATGAGGTCAATACAACTAGTGTCCTTACCTAAAGGGGAAATTTGGACTTAGAGACAGACATGTATAGTGGGGGGATGATGTGAAGATACACAGGAAAAAGACAGCCAAGAGACTAGAGCAATACACCCACAAGTCAAGGAAAGTCAAGAATTGCCAGCAAATAGGAGAGGCTAGAAGCAGGGAAGGATTGTCTCCTAGAGCCACCAGAGAGAATGGCCCTGCCAACACCTTGGTTGCAAACTTCTAGCCTCCAGACAATACATTTCTGTTGTTTTATAGCATCAGTTGTTAGTACTTTGTTCTGGCAGCCCTAGGAGATTAACACAGGTAAAATTTGGAGAAGCCTAAATGAAATGAACAGGAAAGTATTTAGCAAATTTTTCAGTTCGATGCACTTATAAGGTGCGTTTTTAGTATTGTAATGTTAGTATATGATTGGGATTGGTTTAGGAAGAATAAGTTGAAATTGCCTGAGATCATCTTTGCCAAAGATCAGAGGCTGTTTGCTCTAAATCAATTCTGTGTTCTTGAGGGCTTTGCATAGTAGCCAGGTCAGGTAAGAGTGGCGAGAGACTTTGGGCTGGATGGCCACAGGAGTAATGGGTAACTTTTGTTGAGATGGGGCCAGAATCCTCAGCTACTGGTGGCAAGTCAAGCATAAGGGTTAAGGGTCAGGGCAGACTTGGATCTTTTTTTTGTGTGTGTGGTACTAAGGATCAAACCTAGAGCCTTGCACATGCTAGGCAAGCCCTCTACCACTGAGCCACACTTCCAGCTGACTTGATTTTAAATCTGGGCTCCACCCTTACTTTCTGTGTGATCCTGGGGAAGTTATTGGGACTTCTCTAAGCTTCAGATTCTTCACCTGTAAAATGGGAACAATTATAGCTCTAAGACATAGGATCATCATGGTGATTCAATGGTATATCTATTAGAGAAAAGATAAAGCCTACCTGTTGTACCCAGTCCAGGATGTAGATTTTTCTGCTCTGATTACTTACCCTTGACAGATTACAAATGAACAGATTAGATTTTGGTTTGTTCCTTCTTACCTACATTGATTCATGAATGAATGTACCTACTATGTATCTAGTCCATTTCAGGTGCTGAGAGTAACTTGTGAGGCAGACCTGAACCATGACATACAAATGCAGCCAGCTCAAAAACCGAATGTATAGCCAAAGTTGTTTGGGTGCTTTTCTTTCTTAGCCTCATCTTCCCAGGTTTTTGCCATGGCTGTCCTGGTCTACTTCCTCCTGGTTTTTCTCCAGAGGACCTTGTTCCTCATGAGAGAGGACAAGTATGCTTGTTTTCTTACTATGATGCAGATGACTACTAATATCTCAAAGCAGTAACCTGGAAATGACCCTTTTATAAAGCTAAAAGCCTGAAGGTCATTTCTAGGCTAGAAAACATAGCCAGGTGTGGTGGCAAACACCTGTAATGTCAGCACTCAGGAGGTTGAAGCAGAAGGATCATGAGTTTGAGCCTGGGCTACATAGGGAGACCCTCTTTCAAAAGGAAAGACAGAAAGAAAGGAAGGAAGGAAGGAAGGAAAGAAGAAAGGAACAAAGAAAGAATGAAAGAAAGAAAGAAAGAAAGAAAGAAAGAAAGAAAGAAAGAAAGAAAGAAAGAAAGAAAGAAACGCTTTAAGGCATAAGAGCTGCAGAAATCAGTCTGAACTCTTGGTTCCCAAGGGGAAATCAAGCCAGGCAGGAAAGACTTAGGTCCAGGCAGAGTGACACATCAAGGGCACTCAGCTGTCATGTTCATGTATAACTCAGCAGAACATGGAACCGAAAATGCCTTCTCCAATTCCATGGTTATTGCACTGTCCCATCTCTGTACTGACCAGGCTCTGTACTGACTAGGTTGTGCATAGTGTCCTAGGGAGATACTGGGGCAGGATAAGAGCTGTATCTAGGTGTCAAAACACCTCCAGACAGGCAAGGGGCAGGAGCACACAGGTAGATCCAAAGCTCCTAGCCACACTGTGTTTTTTGTGTTCCACAATCTCCACAGTGTAGAAGACTGTTCTAGACTCTTCTGTTCTACTGCTGTCTCTTCGTGCTCCTACAACATACAATAAAAAAAATTTTTTTTGGTGAAATCTGGTAAAGGAAGTCGCTTTTCTTTTCTCTTCTTTTCTGCTTTACCACTGTTCTTGAACAACTGTTCCAGATTAACATTTTTTGTGGCTGTACTCAGGACTTTGGGTTTTCAAGGTAGACATTCTACTGCTTAAGCCACTCAGCCAGTCCACAAATGAACTCTTTAATTAGCTTTTGAATAACACAGCTATTGGAATTTTTGTTTGTTTTCTGAGTCAGGGTGTTCCTATGTAGCTCAGGTGTCCTCCAATTTAAAGCCTTTCTGCTTCAGCCTCCCAAGTGCTGGGATTACAGGCGGGAATCACTGCATCCAGCTTTTAAATCTTCTTTAGCACTCTTACATACTCTAGGATGTAGTACTTTGAGGAACCAAGCTCTTTGTCTCTGTTTTTGGGGTTCTAAATAAGCCAAGAAATATCACCATGACAAGAAATGGAAAGCAACAGGAATTTCAGGTAGCAAGACTGCAATGAGTGAGGAGTCCAGGCAGACATAACCGCTATTGAGTTCCACTGTCCCTTGGGACTAGGAAAGTCATGGAAGGGTCAACAGAGAAGGTGACATTATATTGGACTGTGATAGAAGCAGGAGTTTGTTGGCATTGGAGAAATGTTTGAACTCAGAGAAAGCTTCTTGGAGGAGACATGTTTTACTTGACAACTGAGTTTGCCGAATTGAGAGGGTAAAAGGAGTGAGCAATCGCCCTAAGCCTGGAAAATTACAAAAAATGCTCTCAGAACACATTTGAGGTGGCTGTTGAGTTGAAGTCAGAGAAGATGCCTGGAAAAGGCAATTAAATAAAAAGGATTTTATTAGATAATAATACAAGGAGATGACGTTTGACTTGTGCTTCAAGGAATGAGCGAATACTTGACCAGGCGAAGAGAGAGAGAGACGCTACCGAGTTTAGCCAGTGACAGAAAAGGTTTCCCGGAGCCACTTAAGAAAGAGTGAGCTTCTTGTCCTCTCTCCCAGACCCAAGACTCAGGATCTAAGGGTCTCACCCGCGTGGACACTCGAGACTCGGAGGCGGCAGCCCTGCAGTTCCGACATCCCATCGTGGGCACCGCGAAGAGGGATCCGCGCGGACTGCGGCGCAGGTTTGCCGAGCAGGCAGCACAGCTAAATGCTTTATGTCCGAATCCACCAATGGGCTGGCGGCACCCGGTTGCCAGGGCTACGGAGCAAGCGGAGGCGGGGTCTGGAGGCAAGGGGCGGGGCTTGGGCGGGGCATATATAAGCAGGCGGCGGGCGGAAGGCGGGGCGTGGGGTCGGTGGCTGCTGGGCGCACGGGGTGCAGGCCGCGGGGCCGGAGCCGGGGGGAGCGAGCGAGCGGAGGCGCCGAGGATCCGATTCACTCGCTGGGGAGACCTATGGGCCGAAGCCGTGTAAATGCTTTTTAAGGCGAGTGCAGGGAGTGTCTTGGGGAGCCTCGGGGAGCGGGCGCCCTTGGCTTCGGCGCTGACCTGCCCCCTGGCCCCTCTTGCCTCCTCTCAGCAGGGGCCTCGGCTCCGCAACTGCCACTCCTCCTCGGGGTGTTGCACAAGTTTCGAGGTCACCGGCGACCCCCCCTAGCAGCGCGCCTGGCTCTGGCCCCCGCGAAGGAGGACGGGGCTTGGTAAGGGGGCTTGGGGGCGGGGCGGGACTCTGCATTCCAGAGGGGTCACCCGAACAGAACCTCAGCCTTCTGTCCTCCCCCGGGAGCCCGCAGACCCTATCCACCATGTTGGTGCCCCCATGCATGCTTAGAATTATAGTTCGTCAGGACCAATCATTTACAAACCGGGAAACTGAGGCTCGGAGAGGAGTCGAGGAGTACCCATGGTCTCGAATCTAAGCTCCTGTTCTCAGGCTGAGAATCTTTGGCGTGGCCACCCGCCCCCCCATTAGGTGGGCGCGGTCAGGATTGGGGGCATCCTGGAGACTTACCCAAGTTTCTCAAATTTCCTGCCCCCTCCCTCATTTTTTCCCCCTTTTCCAACCCAGAATTTCAGAACTGGAAAGGCTCTCCAAATCAATCCATCCATTTTACAGATGGGGCAACTGAGGCTCTGACAGGCACATCTAGGCATACAATGCCTTATCCCATTGTAGAAACCAAGTCCCCACCCTTCCCAATGAACCTAGGTTCCCCAAGCTTGTGCTGGGGGCGGGGCGTGGTGGGATTGGGAGCCCTGGCCTAGAGAGATGAGGGGGCTGCTGAGCCTTCCCCCAGCGGTCCCCTCCATCTCCGCCTCCCCTCCCCGCAGTGTGTTGCATACTTTCTAAGGCGGCGGCTGAGGCGGCGGCTGCGGCAGCGGCTCCATCCAGCCGGTGGCTCCTGTTCAGCATGGCTGGCTACCTGAGTGAATCCGACTTTGTGATGGTGGAGGAGGGCTTCAGCACCCGAGACCTGCTGGAGGAGCTCACTCTGGGGGCCTCACAGGCCACCACGGTGAGGGGCTGGGAGTGGGAGTGGGTCCCCTGTCCCCTCCTCTGGAAGAGGGTCCCCTGTCCCCTCCTCTGGAAGAGGGCCTTCATTTTATTCACTCACTTATGTGGTATTCAGTCCTTGCTATTTGCAAGAGACTGGGTAGTTTTATCTCCAACTCCTGGTCCTTGTCCCTAAATCTGCCTCTTCTGTGTTCCTTGCCTTGATGAACAAACAGCACTCTCCTCCTCCTCACCTCCCACATCTAGGTGTCACCAAGTTCTGTGAAGTCCACCTCCTTAAATAACCATCCAGACAGCTCAGGTAGTTCAGTACTGATCTCTCTAAAGGCCCCCTAACCTGTTTCATCCCACCCCCTCTAACTGTATCATAGCCCTCCTCAAAATTAGAATTCCTTGGCAGTTCCCCATTGCTACAGGATCACGTCTGCCTCCACAGCTCCATTTCCAGCTTTATATTCCCACAGTATATGTCATACTGCATCTGAGCTGAACTGCTCTGTTCAGTTCAGCACACAGTGATGTGTGCTCAGTTACCATGCCCAGGCTGTTCCCTCTGTCTGAGACATCCTTCTCCCAGTCTCTCCGCTTTACCTATTTCTAGTGTTCCTTACTTCTCATCAGTGTTGCTTCTTCCTGACTTCCCCAGGCAGGTTTTGTATTTTCTTTCTCCATGCCCCCAATACCTTTTGTAGAAACTCCCATCCAGCGTTTATTGAAGGGACTTGGAATTAAAGTTCCTTCTCTTCAAGACCCAAGCCCTTCAGGGCTAGAGCCCTCTGTGGTCATCTCTGTCACTTAGCATCACATCTGGCACAAGTGAGATCAGTAAAAATGTGTTGGGTGAAACAGGGAAGGTTTAAGTAATGTGGTCTAATCCATAGCCTCTTACATGGTCAGCTGTCAGCTAGTCTGTGAGGGCCAGTTGACCACAGGCATGGCTTATAATGGCATTGGCATAACATCAAGTCTTCACTGAGCGCCTGTATGTGAAAGGCAGTGGGTTGTAGGCCACAGCATCTGCCTTCAAGAAATTGACCCTTTCCTGGAGCAGACAGCTGTATATACCCTTCTGAGGTTTTGGAAGCACATTTAACATGCAATGAGGACATTAAAGACCAAGTTGCCTTATGGGTTTGGGGAAGGTTGAGCTGAGACTTGAAGTTAGACTGGGATTTTGCCAAACCCAGCAGAGGGCTTGGAGATGGGAACATGATCCAGCACATAGAATTTTAAGATGCATTGCTGGCAGGAGCTGGAGCTGGATCACAGAGCCTTAAATGCCAGGCTGAGGCATTTGACTTCTATCCTGTAGGCTTGGGAAGTTTCAGAAAACAACAACAGGGTTGCTTCATGGTCAGAGCTGAGCTGGGGCTGGTCCTTGGAAGAACTGTGAACAGCATGCACAGGGAGGGAGCTGGGTGGTCTCACATCCATATACCTCTTGTTGTGCAGGGTGAGGTCGCTGCCTTCTTCGTGGCCGACCTGGGTGCAGTAGTGAGGAAGCACTTCTGCTTTCTGAAGTGCCTACCACGAGTCCGGCCCTTTTACGCTGTCAAGTGCAACAGCAGCCTGGGCGTGCTGAAGGTCCTGGCCGAGCTGGGGCTGGGCTTCAGCTGTGCCAACAAGGTGAGCCCCTGCCCCCACAGGTGCACTGACCATTGATGCCTTCTGAATGTGGCCCTGTTGGTGTGGGTGGACCCTGGGGAACAGGAGTGAGCTGCCCTCTAGAGAGGCTGCAGGGAGAAGGAAGAAATGAGCACGGAATTTGTCAACCCTGAAGTTCCAAATTAGAATCTTTTATTTCTTGTTTTTTGGCCTTACTGGGGTTTGATCTCAGGGCCTTGTGCTTGCTAGGCAAGAACTCTGTCACTTGAGCCATGCCCCCAGTCCTTTTTAGCTTTAGTTAGTTTTTCGATAGGATCTCATATTTTTGTTGGGGGTTGGCCTGGAACTTTGATCTTCCTACCTATGCCTTCTATGTAGTTGTGGCCACAAGTGCCAGCTACAATGCCCAGCTTGTTGGTTGAGATGAGGGGGAGGGTCTCATTAGCTTTTTTTGCCTGAGCTGATCTTGAACCTCTATGTCCCCAAGTAGCTGGGATTACAGATGCGAGGCACCCAGCCTGGCCTCCTAAATTGAAACCTTGTGTGTCCTTGGGTCACCTTTTTAATGGAGATTTTTGTTTAAAATTTTAAAAAAAGTTTTAAAATGTCTTGACATAGAGCTATATGTAATATTCTAATGAAAACAAAACACATTTATTTATAATCTTAATGTGTGACTGCATTTTTCTTAACTAATTCTTCTAGAGTTTTGTTGTTTCTGCCAATGCTGTCTTTCTAATTTGATTTCTGCTGTTGTCTACCTCCCTCTTGCTGTCTTTCCCACCAAAGTTCCCATTAGGAATGGTTTTTGTTATTGTTTGTTTGTTTTGATGGGACTGGGGTTTAAACTCAGGGCTTCACCCTTGCAAAGCAGAGCCACACTTCCAGTTCCCCTCCTGGTGTCTTTCAATTAACTTTGCTTATATACTGTCACTCTGCAGTCATTGAAGTAGGTGTTGTAGTGACTGCTAGGTGGGGTTGGCAATATAGCACTGAGCAAGAAGGCCTCTGCTCTCTGTTTCATCCATCTATTCTCATTCTGTTCTTATTCGATAAAAAGCCTTTGAACTATGAAATTTCCTCAGAGTACAGCTTTGAGTATATCTCATTTATTCATTCAGAAAATATTTACTGAGTAGCTGCTGTTACCAGATACTATTCTAGGTGAGAATTTAGCCACGAATAAAACAACACAAAAAAGCCCTTCCTTCATGGAGCTTGCTCTCTAAAGAATAAACAAATTAAATAATGGATCATATAGTGTTTTAGATGGGCTATAGGGAATGTCAGGTGAGAGGAATGTACATGGAGATAATTGGCCAGGGAAGATCCCTCTGAGATCTGAATACACACTGAAGGAAGTATAGAGAACTAAGGGAAGAGCATTCCAGGCAGAGGGAACAGCAGATGCAAAGCCTTATGGAAGCAAGCCTGCTTCCATGGTAATATTGGCATCGCCATAATTTTCTTTTCTAAACTTTTTTTTGGCGGCACTAGGGTTTGAACTCGGGGCCTCGTACTTGATAGACAAATGCACTACTAATTGAGCCATGCTCCCAGCCCTCATTTTTTTGATGGTTAGTAATGGTGGTTCTCAGATGAACCCCTTTAAACCCAAGTTGGCAGTGTGATTGGATGTTGTGAGGAGACTTCTAGAAAGGATTCCTGGAGGAGACCTAGCCTGGGCAGGGCAATGGGATTGGAACCATTCTAGGTGGGGGACAGGTGTGCACTATGGGGTGAGATTGTTGGCACAAGCAGGCTGACCTTTACCATGGATTGAATGCTATGCTCTTTGATTTTTGTGGTTGCTGAGTCTTTTCCTCTTGTCCTTGCTTCACACACCTCATTTCATGTGTATCTTACGTGAAACCCTGTGAAGGACACAGAGGAGACACTGCAGAGCCAAGGCTTTGCCCTCGCTGTTGTCTTCTGTAGCATGGTAGGCCTCCCCAGAAGGCAAGAAGGGACAGCATCTTTTGGTCCCCCTGGGCTAAGGATGAAGGTTAGGACCAAACTCCACTGACTAGAATACTCTGCTTCTGGAAACTTAGGGGTGAGGCAATTGATCATCTGCTCTTGAGCTGGCCTCCAAAGGGAAGAGACAGTGGGAATGGTAGAAGCTTCTACTGTTTGCTGAGTATGGCTGCTCTGTCAGGTACTTTGCCAAGCATTTTCTATGCATGATTTCATTTTATTCTCACAAGAACCTTGTGAGGTCATTATTTTACTGGGATTCTGACAACAGTCCCTGGAAGACACATTTAGAATATAAGGAAATGAGGCCCAGAGACAAGTGACTACCCAGGGTCATGCACTGGGAGGGGGCAGCATGAGTCTAGTAATACAGTCTTGACCTCTGTTATTGTTGTCTTTTCCAAGATCCTTGTGGAAGAAGTGGCTGAACTGGCACTTGGCCAGTGATGCATGTCTTGCCTTCGTTTCATTACAAGGGTGAGAAGAGGCCTAAGCCTCTGTGGTGGGATCATGCAGACCATTTGGCTTCTAGAATGTACAAATGTTCCCCCCTACACACATTGGTGGTGCTGGAGATGGAATTTAGGGCTTCACACATGCTAGGCAAGCGCTTTATCCTTGAGCTTCATCCCCAGCCCCCAGACTTACAGCTTCTCCTAATGGGCCAAGGCTGCCCTCTTCTGGTTGGTCATGGTGGGTGATCATGTGTAATGGCACCATGCCTTAGTGGACGTGACCAACCACCTGCCATGAGTTAGGGCTAGATGTACAGACAATCCCCCATTGAACAATCTCTAGGGCCAGGGGCGCACAGGCCATAACTCACACAGGGACTCTGTTCCACCAGGCCTCCTTCCCAAGAGACTTACCTCTCTTGCCCCCATCCCTTGTCTTTTTTTGACTGGCTCCCACAGCCTCCCATCTTAAAAAATCTTCTCTGGATAACACATCCTACTTCAGCCCAACCCTTTGCTCCCTCCTTGTGGCCAAATTCTGCAGAGTTATCTACATTGTTCTGTTTGCATTTGGCCACTTCTTCCTGGCCTCCGCTCTGATTATTCCAAGGAACTTCTTTTTTACCAAAATACTCAGGGACCCAGAATCCATTGATGACTTCATGTTCAACAGTAATTGGGAACAATTCAAATAATACATCGATTCATTCCCCCAAAGTGAAAATGGGACATCAACTTTACATCTCCATAGATAGTCACCATTATGGGTTTGGTGGATAGATAACATTTAAAATACATAAATGATTCACAGAAAATATTTTAAAATTTTGTGATTTTTGTAACAAAATAAAAGCATTTATGTGGTATACATTATTCCACAATAGCTTTAAAAATTCAGCGGGGTTTGGAGATAGGTCCATGCTGATGCATTTGGATCTGGTCTGGGGACATTTCTTGGTCCCCTTATCTGTTTCTCAACAACATTCAAACAAGCAGGGTATTTAAAAAAAATTACTCAACAATAACATATTCCTAGTTGTAAAGACCTCAAAAGTACATAAGATGATGAATGCGGCCATGGATCTGTCCTCATTCTTACCAGACACTTCTGATCTTTGAGAATGTCATTACCATGTGTATGTTCTCCCTCCTGACCTCCCTGCAGGTGCTGGGAGCCAACCCCTCCCATCTACTTCTCTCTGAATGGTAGCATTCCTCTGGATTCTGTCTCAAGACCAATCTTGTAAGCTCTCCCTCCTCTTAGGGAATTTCATCTCCTTCCACTGCTTTAAACACCATCAATATGCCGCTGCCTCCCACCTAATCTTCAGCTCAGACCTGTTTGTCCAGCTGGCTTGACACCAGTAGATACCTGGGACCTGAGTGTTTATAACACACTCCTGCTCTTCCCTTCTTCCTTCCCTAACAGAGGCAGGGCTGCTGGGAGTGGGTGGCCGTGCTTCCCACATCCTTACGCCTTATCCTCACACGCAGTCCATCACCCCACTTGCCAGCCAGCCTCCAAGACATATCCCCTGCATTTCTGGAGAGGCTCTGTCATCTCTCCCAGGGAGACTGTGACAGACACTAACTAGTCTTTCCCAGAATTCCTTTTGAGTTCCTCCTTGGGAGGCCAGAATGACAAGCATTTTAGACCTTGTAGTTAAATGCAAATCTGGCCATGTCATTTCTCTTCTTGAAACCCTTAAAATTCCTGTCCATCACATGCAGGTAAAGTATAAATCCACGTGCAGCCTTCTTGGTTCCTTGGCTTTGTCCACTTCCTGATCCATCTTCCCCACTGCACTTAACCTGCCCAGGCCACTCCAGCATTCTCTGTTCCCTGGTTTCACTGAGTACCTTCTGGCCTCAGAACTTCTCTACTCTTGCTGCTGGAAATAGTCTTTCCTTCCCTCTTGGCCAGCCTGAGTCTTCCTTTGGAGCTCTGCTTAACTCTATCCCTCACACCCAGGTCTCCCTGTCCCTCATTCTATAGCACACTGCCCCTTTTCTCCATGCCTTCTGACCACTTGTCATTCCACCATTGCTCAATGTTCATTTGTGACTGCCTGTTTTCCCCACCAGCCTAAAAGCTCTGTGGGGTCTGAGATCCTGTCTGCTTTATTTACCACTTGTTTCCATCACACCTGTCACACAGCCAGGCACCTCAAGAGGTTCCTGTCCTGCAGGCTGAGGTCTGTGCCATTATAAACTATGTGACTTTGGACAGTCACTTAACCTCTCTAAGCCTCTGTTTCCTACCTCATATGATTATTATGAAGATTTAAATGAGAATGTATATAAGATTTTAATGCAATGGTTGACATATAGTAAGCTTGCTTGAATAACCATGCTCATTATTAAATTTAATTAAAGCCAAATCACAGTTCCTCTTGATGCTATCATTGCATCTTTCTCTCACTTCATGTGATTAGGCAGGGAGCAAAAACTCATTTTCACATCCACCCAAATTCAGAGAATGTATGGGGGTGCATATCTGCCTCTGAGAAGCAAGGTGTAGTGGCCACAAGTTCAGCTCTGGAGTCGGACATTTGAGTCCCATTCTGCTACTTATTGATGTCATCATAGGAAGGTGGATCTCTCTGAACTTAGGTTTTTCCTCTGTGAAATGTGGCCAGGTAATACTTCATAGGATGGTTATAGGCATTATATGAAATAATACATATAAATATCTAGTTAAAATTAGACTCAGGATGGCTACAAATGTCTTCTACCTTTCTTCAAAACTGGTTCCCTCTTGACTCTTTCCCTTACTGAGGGAGAGTCAGATTTGAGTTTGAAAGTTGGTTTTGCCACCTACTAGCTATCTAGCCTCTCTGAGCATTAGTTTCTTTCTCTGTAAAATAGAGTTAATACCCACCCACATGGATTTTTGTCAGGACTGAATAAAATAGTGAACTTTAAGCAGGGGTTTGCAAACTGCATGGTGGGTGAAATCCAGCCTGTCTCCCAATTTCACAAACTTTACCAGATCACAGCCATGCTCATCTATTCATGCATGCCTATGATGCTGCAGCGGCAGCTAGATAGTCGCGACAAACTATGACTCACAAAACTTAAAATATTGTGTCAGGCCCTTTATAGAAGATGTGCTCTAGCACTCGATGGGAAATACTGCATTCAGGGCCTGCTCAATGAGCACAGCTGTTCTCACCACCACTACCATAGTCATCATCACCTTCATTGCCCATATCACTAATGTGGCAGTCAAGTGGAGCCGTGTTCTGTAAAGGGGGAAGAGCAGGGGTGGGGGCGTATAGCTCAGTAGTAGAGAGCTTGCTTAGCATACACAAGGTTCTGGGTTCCTTCCCTGGAGTCACAAAACCAAACAATAACAAAAGGGTGAGAAAGAAGGCCCTGGGGAGTGATGCTGAATGGACTCACCCAGCACAGCGCGCTACACAGTGCAGACCTTTGGATCTGTGTCAGCAAGACTCTTGGTCTTGTAGACTTTCAAATATATTGAGTAATATTCTTATTTATTTATTGACTTGATAATAATTATATGTATATTTATGGTGGGCAACACGAAGTTTTGATTATATGCATATACTGTGGAATGACTAAGATTAACATATACATTAACACATATTTATTATTTGTGATGAGAACACCTAAAATCTCCTCTCAGCGATTTCTAAGTATACAATAATATCATGAACTACAGTCACCATGATGTACAATAGAGTTCTTGAGCTAGTTTTTTATTTTTATTATTATTTTTTTTTGTGGTACTTGGGTTTGAACTCCAGTCTACACCTTGAGTCACTCCACCAGCTCTTTTCTGTGATAGGTTTTTTTGAGATACGATCTCTCCAACTATTTGCCCAAGCTGACTTCAAACCTCGATTCCCCTGATCTCTGCCTCCTGAGTAGCTAGGATTACAGGTGTGAGCCACTGATGCCTGGCTGAACTTAGTCCTAACTGGAACTGTATACCTTTTGACTGACATCTCTCCATGGCTCTCACCTCCAAGCCCCTGGCAACCACCTTCTACTCCCTGCTGCTCTGAGTTTGACTTTTTTAGATTATACATATAAGTGAGATCATGTGGTATTGGTTTCTCTATACCTGGCTTATTTCATTTAATGTAATATTCTCCAGAATTCAGTCATATTGTCCCAAATGGCAGAATTTCTTTCTTTTTTTTGGGTGGTTTTGGGTTTGAACTCAGGGTCTCATGCTCGCTAGGCAGGTGTTCTACCATTTAAGCCACGCTCCCAGCCCTTTTTTGCTCTAGTTATTTTTCAAGCAGAGGGTATTGTGTGTTTGCCCAGGCTGGCCCAGGACTGAGATCCTCTTGCCTCTGCCTCCTGCCCAGCTGGGATAACAGGTGTGTGCCATCATGGCCAACTTTTTTGGTGAGATGAGTCTTGTTGAATTTCCACCCTCTCCAGCTGACCTGGAACCACAATCCTCCCAATCTCTGCCTCCAGAGTTGGATTACAGGAGCAACCCACTGTGCTCAGCCACAATTTCCTTCTTTTTTAAGATGGAATGATATTCTGTTGTGTGTATATGTCACATTTTCTTTTTCCTCTCCTGTCCTCCCCTCTCCTCCCCTCTCCAATCCTTCCCTCCCCTCCTCTCCCCTCCCCTCCTCTCTCCTCCTCCCCTCCCCTCCCCTCCCCTCCTCTTCCCTCCCCTCCTCTTCCCTTTCTGTTCTTTCATTTTGTTCAAGGGGGTCTCACTATACAGCTCAGGTTGGCCTTGGATTTGCCATGTAGCCCAGACTGACCTCCAAATTATGATCTTCCTGCTTTGGCCTCCTGAGGGCTGGGATTATAGGCATGCCTCACCATGCCCAGCTATACCACATTTTCTTTATCCATCAATTTAAGTTGATTCCATATCTTGGCTATTGTGAATAGTTCTGCAGTGAACAATTCCTTTGGATATATACCCAGTATGGGATTTCTGGATCATATATGTAGTCATTCTGTTTTAAATTTTTTGAGAAAACTCCATCCTATTTTCCAAGTAATATTCATTAAGCATTTAAATATGTTTAATGTTTAAATATGTCAGAAGCCTGTGGTCATAGTCACTATATGCATCTGTATAATGCCTTTGTGTGAATTAGAAAAGATACCTTTTCCTTAAGACAACTGATTGTTATAATAAATATGCTGATTTTGTTAGAATGAGATGCTTTACTGTCAGGAAGTTACAATAAATGTTTAAATCTACCCTGTATTTGCTGTGAGTGGAATCCCCCAGAACTCTACAGTGCACTGCCTGGGTGGCTGTACTGTCAGAGAATGGTGGATCAGGATAAAGTCCTGATTGTTGCGTATCTGCTGTCTTAAAGGGCTGACTCACTTGTTATGGACCTCCCCATGTGCAGCTATGACTTTGCCCCTCATCTGTGCTTCCTTGGGCTTCCTGGGCTGCAGGCCCTGGTGCCTCCTCACCACTACCCTTGGGACCCCACAGGCAGAGATGGAGTTGGTCCAGCGTATTGGCGTCCCTGCCAGTAAGATCATCTACGCCAACCCCTGTAAGCAAATTGCACAGATCAAGTATGCTGCCAAGCATGGGGTGCAGCTGCTGAGCTTCGACACTGAGATGGAGCTGGCAAAGGTGGTCAAGAGCCACCCCAGCGCCAAGTAAGCTGAGAACCACTCTTTCAGGGAGGCTGGGCTGCTGGGTGAGGGTAGGAGTGAAGGTGGAGGAGGAGGGGAGCTGGGGAGAGCACCCTGCCCAGGATCTGACCTCAGTTGTGGGAGGTTGGGACGGCACTCCTGGACTGGACCCAGGATGCCAGGACTTGAGTAGATCGAAGGCAGAACTGACTGGTCACTGCCTCAGTCAGTGAAGGCCCACAGTATTGTGAAGGTCAAAGTCACAGTTTCAGGAGGGAGGTGGCATTTGAGGTGGACCTTGAGGAATAAATAGGGGATAAATAGTGGACTGCAAAGCAGATGCATGGGTGTCAGGAACCGCATGGGACATTGGATGGATAGGCCGAAATTTGATGCAGCCAGAATGTGCTGTGTGCAATGGGTGAAGAAAACAGTGAAGGGTCAGGGCTGGACATTTCGCTCTGGCTGTGGCTTTTACTGGTTACTTGACACTCTGGGGATCTGAGGAGGGGTCTTGAGCAGGGGTAATTTGGGTGGTGGGCTACTCTGGTTCACACAAAACAGCTTCCATCATGTCGAGGTTTTTCTTGAGACTGTTTGGAAAGTGGTTCCCCACATACATGACAAGCTTGAAAACTGCCTGATGTGGAGCTGATTTGGAGGAATTGGAGCAGCACAGAAGAAAAGTTTCTGGCAGTGGCTGCAGGAATGGGTCCTGGGACATTCAGAGACTGGATTGGACAGGACTCAAGAGATTGAGGCTGGGGAAGGAAACCTGGGGGCCCAGTTGGCTCTGAACCATGTTGGTTCACAGCCCTTGATTAGGAGGAGATGTGGTTGGGGTGGGGCAGCTGGGATTCACCCAGCATGGTGTGCTGTGTGTTTCCTCAGAATGGTTCTGTGTATCGCTACCGATGACCCCCACTCCCTGAGCCGCCTGAGCCTGAAGTTCGGAGCGCCACTGAAATCCTGCAGACATCTGCTTGAAAATGCCAAGAAGAGCCACATGGAGGTGGTGGGTGTGAGGTGTGCACTGGGAGCCCCCACCATCCCCACCTGTGCCAGACTCTCTCTCACTTTCCCAGGAATTAATCATTCTGCATGAGACTTTCCCCAAGATCTCTGAGCAGAGCTTGCTCTTGCACCTAGAATTCTGCTTATTAAGAATTTCCTCTTTTTTGGAAAGAAGGTTTATAAATGTCTCCTTCCTGAGCCTCACAGTCTCAGAAGGTCTTGTTCTAAGAGTTTCCTCCCAGGGACCTGGTCTTGAGGGAGATTTACCAGTCTGTAGGTCAAGGGTTGTACATTCACACACTTGAATTGACTCTTCTTGCAGGGGTGTGGAATAACAATGACCAGTTATCTAGCTTCGTTTATTCTGTACCTCAGTCACTGGGCTGAGTGCCTCACTTCCATCACCCCACAGCTTGTTGTACAGGCTCTTACCCACACTATAAATGGGACAGAAATAGGGCAGGCTGAGCAACTTGCCCAGGTCACACACTGACTGACAGATATATCCAAATCTGGGTACAATGGGGCCCCAGTTCTCATCACAGAAGGTTCCCCTCCACAGGCAGCATGGATGGATTGGAGGAGCACTAAGTGCCTCCTGTCTGTTCCTTATTTGCCATGTATTCTTTTGCAGTCCATTTAATGTCTGAGGCCTCAATCACTGCATATGTAACATGTGCACATTGTCCCATGTGTCTGCTTAAGGTAGCTCCTGGCTGGGCTGAGGTGGTGGCACCTGGGGCTCTGCATGTAAGCTGAGGCTCTTCCTCCCTTCCCAGTTTTCACATTGGCAGTGGCTGTCCTGACCCTCAGGCCTATGCTCAGTCCATCGCAGATGCCCGGCTTGTGTTTCAAATGGGTGCCGAGCTGGGTCACACGATGCACATTCTGGACCTTGGTGGTGGCTTCCCTGGCTTAGAGGGAGCCAAAGTGAGATTCGAAGAGGTAACCCTGGAGCTGGGAGTGTCTTGCTGGGCTTTTTGGGTGGGGAGTGGGGGGGTGGTTAAGGTGGGGATCAGAGGGAGCCCTATGTGCCATACACTGGGCTTGGTGATTTACCTGAATTATGTTACTACTTATTAACCCTGTGCTATGGTTGAGCAGACTGGGGACTGATAGAGGTTATGTCACTTTCTGAGTCCATAGCACAGCTGGCTGCACACTGGCTCTGCCTGACTCTAGCCCATACACTTTATCAGCCTGTTTGAGGCTTAACCAAGACATATTTGTATGTCATAAGATTCTTTGAGTATGTCCTTTTTACCCTCTAGGGGGTGGATGAGAAATCTGGTGGGAAGGTGAGGGAAGGAAAATGAACCTCCCTTTTGTTGCCAGTCTATCTGTCTCTCCTATCTGAGCTTAGGACAAGAATAATTGTGTCCTAGCAATCCCCACTCTAACCACTAGAGGTCACTTTTCCTTAGAAAAAGGCCGTTCCTGGAATCTCCACTTTCACTAAGTGACCCTGAGGAGATAATTGTGGATAGTTCCCGAGAATTAGCGTCAATGAGAACTGCAGCTTTGTGCACAACAGAAATCCAGTGGACTTCCCTGGGTCATCTAATACTTGGATTGGTTAGATTATGGGACATTCTTGTGATGAAAATATTTACTCATGTTTGGACAACATTCACAGTCTATTGAGTAAAACAGGTTATAAGAACATACACACATCCTCACAGGTTTATTATAAAAATTATGTTTGCATAAAAAGAATTAAAGGAGCTACTATAAAAATTTGTTCACAATGATTAGGTTTGTCTGGATGATAGCATTAGGGTGGCTTTTATCTTTTTTTCCTTCTCTGTATTTTTTGAATTTTCTATAAATTAATTTATTATCTAATAAGCTGCTTATTTATGAGAGAAAGATCCACACCAGGGCTTCTGGAATGTGAGCACCAAGCATTACAGGAAGTGTGCTCCTTCCTATTGCGGGGCATTGAGGAGGGCTATTTATTCAAGCATGAGTGTCTCCACTCAGCTCTGTCCCCTTTCTCCTTTCTTATCTAGCTGTCCCCTGGGGCCTTAACCACAATTGTCCCCTAACCCCCTCCACCAGATTGCTTCTGTGATCAATTCAGCCTTGGATCTGTACTTCCCGGAGGGCTGTGGTGTGGATATCCTTGCAGAGCTGGGGCGCTATTATGTGTCCTCTGCTTTCACTGTGGCAGCCAGTATCATCGCCAAGAAGGAGGTTCTTCTGGATCAGCCTGGCAGGGAGGGTAGGTGCCAGGTGGGCAGCAGAGCTCCATTCTTCCTCAAAGCTGGAGACAGTGGCTGGCTGAGAAGGATCTAGTCTTAGCCCCAGTGGTGGGGTGGGGGTATCTGGAGAATGAATGCTTGCTGTAGGGAAACTTAAGAGTCCATTCCCTCCAAATCCAAGACACTTACTTAGCAAAATTCAAAGTGAGCTGGAATTGTGCAGATTTGAGATTAAAACAACATTGGGGGGAATAGATACTTTAGTGACTCCATTTCACAGAGAAGAAACAGAATCTGAGGGAATACAAATGAATTGCTTAATAGCTAATGGACCCCATGTCTGTCTCCTCTCTAAAAGTACAGGCTCTTACTCATCCTTTATCATCACTTAATAAAAATAATTCATGACCACTTTAAGTCTACTTTACAGATGGGAGAATGTAGGCAGGGAGAGATTGAGTCAAGGCTAGGTCACATAGCTGATAAGGGCAGTGTTGGAATTCAAGTTCAGGGATAAGCTTACTCAGAACTTTTATGCCCAAACTGCCAGCATTAATGATCTTCCTTGACCTTCCAGATAGATTAGGCCTCTCAGAGGGATTGTCTAGAGCTCTTCAAATGACAGGTGTCAGGCAATCTGATCTTGGGCTTTGCCCTCTGCTCTGAGAGAGTCTCAGCAGGAGAGCTTCAGGATGGTGCTTTTCAGAGAGAAAGACAGACAGAGAGAGAGGAGGGGAGGGGAGGGGAGGGAGGGGAGCTCCCTGCTCCCTGCTCCCAGCCTCCTCACATTCTGCTTGTGCCACTTCTGTCCCCTTCCCTCCCCACAGAGGAAAATGGTTCCACCTCCAAGACCATTGTGTACCACCTTGATGAGGGCGTGTATGGGATCTTCAACTCAGTCCTGTTTGACAACATCTGCCCCACTCCTATCCTGCAGAAGGTGAGCCTACCCTGTGTATATCTCTTTATTGTGTGTGTTTCAGTAGCATCTGTTGTATTTTTATCTAATTTTTATTTTTATTTATTTTTATTTATTTTTTTGCGGTGCTGGGGATCAAACCCAAGGCCTTGGGCATACTAGGCAAGTGCTCTACCACTGAACTACACTCCCAGCCTCATGTTTCACTTTTCAAAAATTAGATAAGGGACTGGGGATGTAGTTCAGTGGTAAAGCACTCTCCTGGCTTGCATGAGGGCCCTGGGTGAAATCTCCAGCACACAAAAAAAAAATAAAAAATAGACAACAAAGAGCTGGGCTTGCTTCACTCTGTAATCCCAGCACTCAGGAGGCTGAGGCAGGAGGATCTCAAGTTTGAGGCCAGCTTGAGCGAGGCTACATAACAAGAGCCTGTCTCAAAAACAACAGCAACAAAATAGACCACAAGGATGAAGAAAGTTATCACCCATAATCCCATTATACAAAGATAGCTTCTTTGAACATTATACTTTATTTCTTTTAGAAAAATGCAGTGTACTTTGCTTTCATAAAGCTGGGATAATATTATTATGTAATCTATTTTTTATTTGTATAGGGTGTAGCTGTTGTATGCTATTAGCTATCCTATCCTAGTATGCTTTTCAATGACTCTATGATATTTCAACTAGTCTAACCCTAGTAGGTGGCCATTAGGTTTCCTATTTTGAGCATTTTGAGTCTATCTTGATGTACATCTCTGATTACCACCTGGGAGTAAATTCCTACAAGTAAAAGGAAAGTTCATCTGTAATAGGTTTTTCATGTTAACCTGGGAACAAGAACAACAAAACATCCCTGGGCTCTAGCAGCATTAGTGGGACTCTAGTACTGGGGTTTGAACTCAGGGCCTTGTGCTTGCTAGACAGGTGCTCTACCACTTGAGCCACTCTACCAGCCCTTTAGTGGGAATCTTTACAAGGGGAAAGAGAATCAAGACCCATCTCTAGGTCTTTGAAGTCAGCTCCTCATGGGAGCTCTTCTTGCCTCTTATCCCATTGGAGGCACAGGAGCCCTCCCTCTCTTCCCCATTGTGCATGGGGTTGGTGGATCCTCATTTCATAGTTAAATTTGGCTCCCTTCATTTGTCTGAGGAAGCTTTCCTGATGTGCTGAGGAATTCAGAGTTTTCTACTCTGACACGCTAGCATTGCCTGATGTGTGATGGCTCTCATCTTACTGCATTCAGAAGGGACCAGGTTGGCCTGGACCAGCCAAGCCCAAGTGGCAGGACAATCAGCAGCTCTCTGCCTTCACTCCCCGTCTTCCTGTTTGGTGCCATCTCTAACCCATTCTCTGTTCCCTTCATCAGTTGCTCAGAAGAGCAGGACTGTGGACCCCACCCACTATTGCACTTTCTTTGTGGTCTGTGCTGTTCCTTCTCTGGATAATGCGTTTCAGTTTCCTCCTTGAGGCTGTGAACCTGGCCTTGTGAGCAAAGCCAGGGCAGAGGCCACAGTCCACTGAGGAAGACAGACATTAAGTGTGCTGGGGGGAATTCAGCCTGGCCAGGGCTAGCTGCACCTTCCCCTTCAGAGGAAGGTGCCCCTCATGAGTGGTTATGGCAGCTTTGGGATCCTGCTCCTCACAGGACTTTGTTTTTTATATTAAATATACTCTTTGGTTCAAAGTTCACTTCTTATCATTGGACCATGCTTGGCTCAATTTTGTGTTTTCTAAAAAAAAATTACAAATATTCGAATCCCCTTAATATGCAAAGCACTGTGTTGAAGTCTGCAGACAAATAGTAGGTAAAAATTGTTTGTATCTTGGGAATACAAGCCCTATTAGATAGAAATGTGTGTGTGTGTGTGTGTGTGTGTGTGTGTGTGTGTGGTGTGTGTTTAATATACAAGCTATACAATATCATGAAGAAAGTATAGAATAAATATTACTTGATTTTTTTCAAAAATACTTTAGTGTACATCTCTAACAGATAAAGACTTTGGAAAAATTGTAGCTCCATTATCAAATTAAAAAATAAACAATTTTAGGACTGGTGGTGTGGCTCAAGTGATAGAGAACATCTCACTGTGTTTTTTTGGGGGGGAGGACAGTACTGGGGTTTGAACTCAGGGCCTCATGCTTGCTATGCAGGCACTCTACCAGTTGAGCCACTCTGCCAGTCCTTTTTATGTTGTGTATTTTCGAGATAGGGTCTCATGAACTATTTGCCTGGGCTGGCTTCAAACTGCGATCCTCTTGATCCCTGCTTTCATAGTATCTAGGATTATAGGTGTGAGCTACTGGCTTGTGCCATTGGCTCCAGTGGAATTGAATAGATTTTTTAAACTTATGTAAGTAACTTAATATTTAAAGGAACTTTAAAAAAGAAAACCCTCACCAATCCTCGTCCTTATGGAACTCTGTTCATTGTCACATTACCTCTACTTTCATCGTGCACATGCAGCATCCCGTGGTTGCAAACTGCACATACGTATTGGCTAAAGTCATTGTATACTTATGGCAGTGGGTGCTGTGCTAAGCGTTTCATATGACATTACTTTCTTGGTCTTTACAATAATCCTTTAAGGTAGGTATTATCAGTCCCATTTTACAGTGAGAAAGCTGAGCTTGTAGAGGTGCATATCTTGCTCAAAGTCACACACTTAATAAGAGGTAGTGCTTATTAACTGAGCTCCTTGGGGATAGGGTTCATGTCTTATTCATCTTTGATTATCTGTCTGGTGCCAGAGAAAAAGCTTTTAACTACTTTCCTATAAAACAATTACATTCCCATAAAATTGCTGTATCATTGGGCATTTAAGCATTGCTCCTGTCATTTCTTATTGTTCTTATTCCACGAATTTTTCCATGAATATTACTAGAATGCTCTTTGCTAATCTCTCTGCATGGCTGACTCATTTTACATGGTTAAAGCGTATTTGCTTTTAAAAACTCTTTTCTTATAATATGTCCCTGAAATATTACCAGGCAAAAGATAGGAGCACTGTTAGACTCTTGAATCATGCTTCGAGATCATCTTCCCAGAATCTTATCTAATAGGTTCTGTTACCACTTGTGCCCACTCCACAGTGAGCTCACAGGCATTCACTCTGTGACCTTTTTTTGTTGGCTAATTTTCTAAAACGTCACACCTCAGTCATTCTTTCATTTCTATGTCTTTGACAAGGATCAAGCATTTTATTTTTGTTTATTGTTTTATTTCCTTTGATGTCAATGCCTTTTTATATCCCCTGCTCACTTAATTTGGGAGGTCTTGAAGTTTTTTCTTACAAATAGTGATTAACTTTCATAGACATGTATGTATATTTACTACTGTAATATTTGATACAATTTTTTTCAGTCTGTTATTCTAGTTTTGTGATTGCTATTCTTTCATAAAAGTTCAATACACTCATGAATCTTTAAGTATGCTGTAATTAATAGTAAGGAAATAGAATATTTATGGAAAAAGATTGCTTTCTGGAGAAAATTTAGCACAAACAATAAAAAATCCCAGTATTCAGAGATGATGATTATTAAAATTTACTTTGATTCCTTCTTTTTAAAGTATCATAGTGCAAATTGTTTTTAATTAAAAAGCACATCCATGAGCACACTGGCATTTGGGTGGACTTTTAAGCATAAATATTTAAATGTTCTTTGAGTGGTCTAAAATAATATGGCGTGCAAAGATGCACGCGAGTGAATGTGTATCAGCACTTCATAAATGCTAAGTATGGCTGGGTGTAGGGAGGGAAAATACCTGAGAATTTTATGAGATTCTTAGGGCAAAATTATGTTTCATTTTTTGAGAAACTTCCAAAGTGTCTTCCCAAGTGGCTGTACCACTTGGGAAGTGCATTCCTTCCAGCAATGAGTAAGAATTCCTATTGTTTCACACCCTCACCGGCCATTGGGATTGTCAGTAGTCTGGATTTTGGTCAGTCTAATTGGTGGGTTGTGACATTTGATTGCTGCTTCAGTTTGCAGTTCCCTGAAGACATGTGATGTGGTGCATCTTTTCATATGCCTATGTGCCGTCTGTCTATCTTCTTTTGAGAAGTGTCTTTTAAGGCTTTTGGAACATGTTTATTTAGGTTATGTGTTTTCTCAGTGTTGAGCTTTAGGAAGTCTTTGTATGTTTTGAACAACATCTTTTATCAGATGTGTCATTTGCAAATATTTTCTTCCAGTCCATGGCTTCTCATTTTCTTCCCTTTCTTTCTTTTCCTTCCTTTCTTTCCCTCCTTCCCTCCCTCCCTCCTTTTCTCTCTCTTTCTCTCTCTTTTTCTTTTTATGGAACTGGGGTTTGAACTCAGGGCTTTGTGCTTGCAAAGCACTTGAGCCACATCTCTAGTCTATTTTGCTCTAATTATTTTGGAGATGGGAGTCTCATAAACTATTTCCCTGGGCTGGGCTCAAACCACAGTCTTTCTAATCTCAGCTTCTAAGTAGCTAGGATTACAGGTGTGAGCCACTGGTGCCTTTTTTTGACATTTCTTTTGCAGAGTAGTTTTTAATTTTAGTGAAGTTTAGCTTATCAATTCTTTCTTTTATAGATTGTCCCTTTGGTGTTGGAGTTTGTCTTTATTTCAATAGCACTTACTATCTTCTGTTTTCTTTTTTGAGGTATTGTCCAGATTGGTCTCAAACTTGCGGTCCTCCTGCCTCACCTTCCCAAATAGCTTGAACTGTAGAAGTGGGCCACTGTGCCTGGCTCATATTATATAATTTACTTCTTTATTTTATTGTTTGCCGTCCCCCTTCTAGACTGTAAACTTCATGAAGATACAGATCCTTGTCTGTTTTGCTCACTAGTATGTGCCACGCACATAAAACAGTGACTATTCAAAACTAAATGATAACCTAACTCTGAAAATGGATTTCTCTTTGGGAGTATCTGCTGAATCTCCTCATAGCATTGACTTTCAGTTCTGATAGCTATGTGGGTTTCTAGGGCCTTATCAGGATGGAGAGTTTGATATGATATTCTCGAGATGGAAAGCTTGACATAAGAACACC